AAAAAAAAAAAGATGGCTTTGCAGAAAGCTCTGAGGAAAAAAACACAAAGCAAGATAAGCCAAAGAAAAAAGGACCCTTCCACCAAGGCTGGGAAATATTAACGTGATGTCATTAAGGAACTAACTAGTGACAAATGCCTTCAGAAATTAGGGCTGRTGTGGCATCACCTGGGAACCCAGGGGCAATAAAACCCCATCAGCAGAACAATATCAGGAAGTGTTATCACTTTGACTTTTAGAACATCATTAAAATGGTGCCACCTCTTCCTCTGGGGTTTTCACTGATGTACCTACCTGGTACACAACAGCAAAACCAAAATTCCAAACCTGCCTGTCTTACTGCCCCTCCAGGCATGAAAACTGTACAGATATCAGTCTAAACAACTAAAACAAGCAATGTTTTAAAGCACACATCCACATCCAAATCACACCTGAACAGTTGTACTTTCCAGCCCCAACAACTGGACCATTCCTGAGGAGGACAAAAAGAGAAATTCAAGTGAAGGTACCTTCCTGCTCTTTATTTGAACCGTGTTAAGTTTAAATACTTTTACCATTCACACTCAAGGAAACAATTGATTATTATTGAAAAGAGATCACAACATTTTGCCACCCGTTTCTCAGCTACAGTGGTAAACAATACATCCAGGAAGGCAGCTGCTTTCTAAAATCCACCCTAGGGAATCCTCTGACATTAAAATGCAGCCCAGGTACAATACAATCCCTTTCTTCATCCTTGTAATTGCTTATAATAACACACAAGTCTTTAGCATCTTTACTTAAGGTTTTGATTTTTTTCTGAAAACAAAAAAAAAAATTAAAAAATATTAATTTCCACAGCCTGAATCTCCAATGATCTGACCAATTCCCCAGCTCTTTGGAGTCAGGGAATTTCATTTATGCTCATTTTCGGTCATCATCCCTAAAAACTACACAATCCTATCCTGAAAGGCAGCACTCTTTAAATCTCGCTGTTCACACTATCTAGTGTCTCTCTCAGAACCAAGTTTTCTTTTTATTATGCTACTAAATTCTGCTTCTCTCTCTAAGRAAAACCAAAAATTTGCAGTTCCACTCTCCTTTCTGCTTTCCATCATTACACTGGCAAATCGGGCTGCACTTGTTTGGTGGGATGGTCCCAAAGAATCTTGAGATCTCTTGGGATAAAAAATAGTTTATTTAAATTGAAGTTTTCCTACAAGATAATTTCAATCAGTTCAAAAGCTGCCACTGATGTGTTAATGTTAAAGAAAATATAAGTAATGTGGTGGTGTTTTTAACAGAAAAGAGCTGTTTACTTAACCCTAAGTGCATYCATTTGATAAATACATTAATAGAAAATGTTCACAGACTTCTAAATATTACTTTTTTTCAAATGTTTTCAGCTACAGCTCTTAGGGATGGTTGATAACTTATTCATAAGGTATCTCTGACAGYTGCAAGTAAGTTATTTTAAAAAATATGCAGCCAGAATTCACATACGATAACGCAGCTTAAGAGAACACAGATTAAAAATAATCACAGAAAGCAGAATGAAACATTTGGGGAAACAGGTTTTGGCTAACAGCAGCAGCTCAGTCATTTGCTCAAACATGCCAAAGCAACTAGGAAAAACAAGTCAAAATTCTGCTTGTACTACTGCAGCAGCTGCTGTGATGTTTAGAACTAACCAAAGTTAAAAAAGATTGCTTTATCTGGGATTATTCAAGCCTTTACATGTTTTTCTTTCTAATTATTCTTTGAAACGACAGTGGTATTTCTATTTAGAATGCACAGCAGCAGAACAGGATGCTAAGGAGTGTGCCTGAGTGGGTGGAAGGATTTTTCTGTACAGATGCTGCTGAATTTGCTCTTCCCCTCGGTGGCACATGAGGGACCATGGAACAAACAAACAACTTCTCAGTGTGGGAAAGAAGGATTTGGGGCTGTCACCCCAGTCAGTGCCCCTATCCTGCTCTCCAGCCACTCCCAAGAAGCTCTGCTGTACGGGATTTGTGGATTCTGAGGAGCATTCATCACACCCTCTCATGGACATTATGGCAGGGAGGTTCTCTGACACGCCAGGTATTTTAACTTAGTCAGGAATACTGAAAGAATTTTATATTCCAGGAACAAGACCTGGTGTCCTTCAGAAAGAAAAAAATAAATAGAAAGATGATGA